ACAGGAGCAGCTCAGAGCAGAAGGGCTCACAGACCAAATGGAGGCGCTGGACCTGCCCAGTAGGTGAACCAGCTCACAGTGCAGGGAGGGCAATGGGCAGGGGCAGCAGGCTAAGTGCAGGGTGCAGGTGCGGAGGACACACCTCAGCCCTGGGCTCTGGGAGGTTCTGGGGGTGCTGCTCTCCAGCTCCTGCAGAACTGTGCTGGTGAGAGCCGAGTTGTGGTTTGAGACAGACAGAGGGAAGGCCGGGGCCACCACGGGTTCTTGACCTACCTGAGGATTCGAGGGCAAGGACCCCGGCCATGCTGTGGCCCAGAGTGGCCCAGAGAGGTAGGCTCTCACTCTGTGATGCTGGGGCTGAGGTCCTGGGGCCACCCGTCTATGGTCCGCAGAGCCGTAGCCCCCAGTACATGCTGCTCCTTGGAACTCTGTCTTCCCTGTCCCTGCCTGTCGGTGACTATTTCCTGCTGGCTCCATTCTGTCATGCAGCACATCTCACAGGTCACTAGCTCATACAGAGTCCACCAGGAACAATGCTTGTGAACAATGATCACATCCTACAGGCCTCCTGGTGGCCCACTATCTGTACTCGACACATCTTCAGTATCACAAATTCACTTTTTCCCACCATCTCTAGCAGAACTGACTAGTCTCAAATCACTGTGAACAACCCCGACTCTGCCCCTTGGTAGCTGGCATTGACAGGGCTCCTCAGCTGCATGTCCCAGGGTTATGGGCTGAATCTTGACACCCACCCCATTCATACGCTCAAGCCCAGACCCAGTGCCTCCAAAGGAGTCTGCGTTTGGACCCGGGGTCTTTAAGAGCTGACTAAGGCAGAACGAGGTCTTTAGGGGGCCTTAGTCCACAGAGCCATGTCCTTATGGGAAGAGAGGTCTGGATGCAGACCCCAGACACACAGGTGATTTCCTGGGAAGAGCAGGAGAGTGGTCCTCTGCCAGGCCAGGTGCAAGGCCTCCGGACAAGCCAGCCCTGCTGCTACCTCGATCTTGGACTCCACGTTCTTGTCAGAACTTAGACAGACCATGAACTGCCCACATCCAAGTCAGACAGGTAGACAGGACACTCCCACCACTGCTGTCCAGCTAGAAAGCCCCTGTGTTCCCACAAAAAGTGAATGTCTCCCCACAAGAGATTCCTGAACTTTTACCTGAAGAGCTCAAGGACATAAGAAGTTCTAGAAAGTTCCCTCGTTAGTAGTCCACAGGCCAGAAGGAAGAGGGCGGGGCTAGGACCTGTAGCCAGCTCTGGCAGCAGCTGGGAAGGAAGTGGTCAGCAGGTGCTTCAGCTTCATGGTGGCCCAGAGCAGGAAGAGCATGTCCCCAGCTCCTCTGAGGGCTGTACAGGTGGCAGACACACGGTAAGAAGACTCCGCTCCATGCAGCACCTAGAGCTGCCACAGTGCTCAGCGTGGTGTTCACTCCCGACACAGGCCCCACAGTTGGGGTACTAGGAGCCCTTGCCCCCAGGGGCCGTCCACACGCAGCCCAGGCCCCGTGCGCCACTCTCTGCCAAACCCTCAGCACCTCGTCAGTGGAGCAGCTCCCAGGGAGGCCCTGTCCCCAGAGCTTGCCTGCGCCCCCCTGGGCACTCCGAGGGCTGCAGCACCCAGCCCGCTGCTCCGGAGCTTCCTCTCGTGCCCTGAAAGTGCCAGAATGGTGTGCAGAGCTGGTGCCTGGCCGTGCTTTCCTCCTACTTCTGGGCTGTGGGAGGAAACCATTTCCCTGCTGGCGGGCTTCCTCTGGCCTCACCCCTGGTCTCTCTGAAGAGAGAAGGAAGCCGCGGGTGCCCACACTTGCCGCTGTTTGTGGTGTGCAGAATTCAGCAGGTTCCCCCTCACCCACAAAGCCTGAGGGAGCTGCAGGTGCCCCAGAAGCTCTGAGGCAGCCCGGGGCCAGGGCCAGGGCCAGGAGAGGCCTCAGCACTGTCCTCTGGCTGTCTCCCGAGCACCTCAAGCCTCAGCAGCACCCCAGCAGCACCTCTGCCAGGCCTCTGGCCCCTGCCCTGCCCTGGCATAGTCCCTGCCCCCTCTCTTGCAGTCCACCCTGGAATCTCCGGGCTGGCGAGACTTCCCAGACGGACAGTGGCAGAGACCACTTCCAAATGCTCTTTTGTGCCCTTTTCCTGGCAGTGGCAGGGCAGAGGGTGGTGGTAGCCTTCTGGTGGTGGCAGGGTCACTCCCCTGGGAGTCCCAGGCTTCTTGCCTATATTGATGCTGAGCTATGGACTGCATGTGGACGGCGGGTTTCCAGAGGGGTGTGGGTAGAAGGAACCCAGAGAAAGGAAAGGGAGAGTCAACGTCACACACCTCTCTCCTTCACTCCCTCCACGGGGTGGGAGCCCAGGGGACTAGCGGAAGGGAGTGGCCCTGCCTGATGGCCTCCTGGTCAGCTGGCCCAGCCACCATGCCCCTCCCTGCCACAGCAAGGCTCTTGTGGTGGCTGCCCCAGCAGGAGGCTCCTGGCCGGCCACCCACAGGTGGAAACAACTACCCACACCTGGCCCAGGTAGGAGGAGAAAGGTGGGAGGCTGCCCTCGATGCCCTTGTTGCCCAGGTGATGCTCTCATCTTACTCGGTCTCTTTGTCACCAGCTGTTGGTGTCTCAGATCAGCCTCGGGTGCTTTTGCTCCATTCAAGATGGAAATTGCCAAGGGGCAGCAGTGCCCTCTGAGGGAGGCTTGGCTGGGGCTTTTGCTGGGATGTAGGAGACAGTAAGCAGGTGAGGGTTCTGGACAGTGCTCCCAGGAAGCCCGGGGGGAGCTGGCCCAAGCTGACCCATGACTGCTGCAGTGATGGTGCAGGGCTCAGGACTGTGGCCCGGGTCTTCTGCTCTGGGCCCTGGGATGGTGCATGGTGCGGGGCAGTCATGGGCCCTGGGTGGGCTTGTGCTCACCTGGGGGGTGCTGCCTGAGGGCCTCACACAGCAGGCCCAGCTGGAGAATCTTCACACGTAGAGGCTGCAGGAAAGTCCCTTTGTAAGCTCTAGAGAAAGCAGTGGCATAAATAGGGCTATCTTGAGGTGCACATCCTGCCAAAACCGGCCTCCCACCCAAGACATCACAGACTCGGCAGGACCTCAGCCTCCTTTCCCCATCTCACCTTGGCTGCCCAAGGCTTCGACTTCATCAACACCTTCAGTTCTGGGAGCTGCTACTTCCTGAGCATCTGATGTGAGCTGACCTCGGTGCCTGCATGTGTCTTTCACCTGCAGATAGGAGATCAAGCCACGGAGGAGACATCACTTGTATCAGAGCTGATGGTGCCCATGGTAAGTGACACTTTCACTTGACCCTTCTTTCAACCTGTAGTGGGGCTGTATGGGGGTCGAGAGGGACACATGTAGACTGCAGTGAGACTTTCCAGTGAGCACTGGGCATGGGGAGCAGATTGCCTAGACCACCTAACAGAGAGAGACCCACTGGAGGACTCACCCCCAGGACTCTCACCTCAGAGCACTTGGGAACAGGTGGGCAACCACAGCAGTTGACCTGCAGGGAAGGATACCAGGTTCACTTCGCTCAGAATCGAGGTGGCGGTGGGAGCTCAGATTAGCAGCTCAGGGGTGTGCAGGCTTTTATCAGGGAGAAAAGGTCTTTCCTGGAAATCTTCAAGAAGCTACCTGTGTCTCACGGCCACCAGAGTCACGTGGCCACCTCTAGCTGAAAGAGAAGTTGGAAAGTGAGTTCTTTCCCCATTCGTTCTTCCGGGTGGAAGGGAGACAAGACAGAAGGGAAGAAGAGGAGGGTGGGCAGCCAGGATACAGGCCAGTTCTGCGCTGTCATTGGGAAAGCCCACCACCCCAGCCCTGAGGACGATTGGGGAGAAGAAGGCCTGGGGCCTCAGCCTATAAACTGCTCCGTCATCCACCAGAGAGTGTGCACAACTACGTACGAGGCACTGGAGCACCCACAGATTTTTGGCATCCACGGGTCCTGGAACCAGCACCCCATGAACACAGAGGGGCTGCTACACTCTTCTGTGCCAGTGCAGTCCCTCCCATCCCGCTGCTGGCTTCTGGTCCTCTTCAGTCCTTTGACTGGTGGCCAGGGGTTTGGGGACTGGCTGGCCTGACTAGTTAATTTGGAAGAACTGGTCTCAGGTGCCCGGCGCCAGCCTCTTCCTCTTGGGAACCAGCTGACTGCAGAAAGTGAGAGGTTTCCTGGGCCCCTGAGCCTCCGGGTGCTTTGGTTCAGGTCATACACAGCCCAAGGGCACCTGGGAGACTCGAGTCGGGAGGAATCCAGCGGCCTGGAGGAATCCCCTCCTAATCCTCAAAGAGGGGCCGGGCGGCACCTGTGCTCTGTCCCCCCCCCATGCTGCTCCTTGAGCAAGGCCAGGTGGGGTGGGTCTGGTTGGGAGCCCCAGTCGGCTCTGCGTCCTTTAATCTGGCCTATGATAGTAATCGGGTGACAAGGTGACTCTGGGCTTCAGTTTTCCAGTTTGTTCAGACGCCCAGGGGTGGAGGCCTCAAGGTATCAGCTCCTGCCACCTCTGCATCCTCATCATGGGCACTTGGGACTTGCCGTCAGGTTTGATCTCCTAAGCCAGTTTCCATCGGGGAAGTAAAGGGAGTGGACGGCGTTTTGACCCCTGGGTGGTTAGGGCACCACAGTGAGGGTTTCCAGAGAGTGCCCGATCTCAGAGCGGCTTCTCGACCTCACAAGACCCGGCTCAGACTTCTCCTTGAAACCTTTGAGGGCTCCCGGGTTGAGCCTGAAATCTGCAGTCCTTGCATGTACACAAGGAGCCGCCACCAGCATGGGGACCCCTCCTGTCCCCCAGCCTCCATCTTCTGCCTTGCAGCTAGTCTGCAATCCGGGTGGAAAAACCAGCAGTGAAAACGCTGCACTCCATTTTCAAAGACAGAAACGCACTCTGTGTGTGTGTGTGTGTGTGTGTGTGTGTGTGTGTGTGTGTATGTGTGTGGTTTTTTGTTTTGTTTTGTTTTAAGAAAGAAAAAAAACCCAAAAGCAGAGAATAACGCTCATCTCTTTTAATTTTAGGCCGATTTTAAGTACTGAAGTCAGAGTGGTGGCGTCTGCGGGGGAGGCAGGCGGAGGGGCTCCTGGGCCACCAGGTGCAGCGCAGTGGGGCAAGCTGGGCGGTCAACAGGAAGAGCGTCTAGAAGAAGTACTCGTCTGCTGTCGGGTGGGAGAGGCATTAGTGAGAACAAGTACTTTCTTTCACTTCAAACAGTTGCAGAGTTTTCCCTTAGAATATCAACAGGAAGGTTCTTTAGAGAGCAAGACTGCCTTCCTATTTCCATGGTCATTCCCGACACCTCCACCCAAGTGAGCAAAACGTGTTCTGTGGATTGAATCTTCCCCGGGTTTGGTTTGAGAGGTGACGAAGGTCCAGGCAAGGACAGCCTTTCAGCCTGACTCTCCGTGCTGGACTTGAGTCCAGCCTCGGCAGGCAGAACCAGGTCCCCACATCCCAGGGCCCCAGCTAGGCAGAGCACGGCCCTCGGTGCTGGGGAGTCCCCGGGGGCCCACAGGGTTGCTCTCACTACTCAGACCTGATGGAGTACCTTCTGTGTCGTTCCTACTTCCTGTCTTGTTGGCGGACCAAGGGTGGAAGCACCAGGGGTACCCCGGAGGGCTGTTTGCAAAGCAGCAGTCTCTTTTCTTACAGTCATCGGCCTTGATCCCAGGGAAGCCACAGTTCATCCTTTCGTGAATTTTCATCTCACACTTCTTCCCTACAAGTGCAGGAAGGGCAAGAAGCAGCCGTAAGTCGTGAGCCAGTCCCCCCTACTATCACACACACACACACACCCGGCCTCCTTCTCCAAGGAAGGAAGTATCTGGTGAGGCTTCTGGGTCTGAAAGGGAGGTGGGGTCTGTTTTCCTGGTGGGAAAACACGGGGCGGGGGGGAGACTCACCGGGAAAGCCGTGGACCCCACCTGCCAACACGGCACCTGCCTGGTGACTTAATCCCACAAAGGATTGTTGAGCCTCACTCCCCTGATAAATCGGCATTTACTGAGCACCGTTCATGTGTGCGAGAAACACACCAGGCCAGGTGATGGGATCCAGAACTGTAACTAGAGCTGCTGTTCAGAGCCTGACGGAGAAGTCCGTGGAGATGGATGACAACCAGAGCCATCGCCGCTGTGCTCAGGGAAGTGTGGGGACAGTGGGGCTTGCCAGGAAGGCCCATGGCAGGCAGGTTGAAAGAGCCTCCTAAAGGAGGAGGCTGAGCAGATGTGGAGCAGCCTGGAGCCGAGGAGCTGCCGGTCCAGGGGCAGGTGAGGTGGACGGGTGGGAGCTGGGAGGAGCTGGACCAGGGCTGGGTGACAGATCCCGGGGACAGCTTGAAACAGGGCCGTGGTGAAAGTGCTCCAGAGGGAGGCTCCTGGGGGAGGCTAAGAGCTGCCAGATGGCCTAGGTGTGGGGCCAGCCAGGCCTGGGCCAGACCACGGTCTGGGTGTGTCAGGGATCTGGTGGCCGTCAGACCGCAGCAGGCGGTGGAGCAGGATTGGAGCGTGTGTCTCTGTGTTGGGGCTCAGGTGGAGCAGGCGCTCAGCAGTGCTGTGGGGTGTCTGGGTTCTGTAGGGCTGCCCTCCTGATCTGTTTCCGTGTGTGGAGGTGTCTCCAGATTTCCTAAAGAGGGCTCCTGGCTTTGCAGGAGAGACATCAGCCTTCCCAGGTGTGACTCCCATCAGGAATCTAAGGTGACCACTGTCCCCTCCACAGGGCAGCCGGAGGTCTAGAGGAAGCCCACAGCAAGGGAGGATCCACAGCCCCAGGGCAAGAGGGGCACCTGGCCAGGTAAGCTTCTGCCTCCAGCTGGGTCCCCAAACCCAAGTTTAAGGTCTCCTAACCTGGCCCCTGCGCTCCCCAGGCCTGTCCTGCCCTGCAGAGTGTGGCCACACGAGGGAACCAGCGGCAGTGCTCCCTGTTGAGGGCCAGAGGTGCCAGTACGGCCTTCTAGATTTGTGCTACAACAGGACAGTGGACCCCAGAATTCAAGATGAGCCCCGAGCCCCAAGCCAGAGGGCAAGGGTGGGGGCTGCCAGACCACGTAGCAGGCTGAGCTGGGGACTGGGAGGGGAAGAGCCAAGCAGCTGGGACCCTCCGCCATCATGACCTCTCTCGGGTTTAGAAGCCGACCCACTCCCTGCCACGACTTTGGGGGCCCCAAACTCTACCCTTCCTCTTTCCTGCTGCCCTACACTACCCCTTCCACCCGGCCCCAGCCCACAGGCATCAAGAGGGACCTGGAAGGTGCCCAAGGGGAGCAGAGCCTCCCTAGCTCCTCCGTAATCTCGGTGGGGATCCTTGACTCAGAAATTTTGGAAAATACTTTCTGCTATGTGCCCCGCAAAGTGGATCTGACCACAGTCAGTGGCCTTCTGCAGCTCCTCCTCGCTGAGGACACACGTCCACCAGCACTGCCACAGGCAGAGCACTGTTTCCAGCTGGCTCTCTGTGTGTCCACCGCGCCTTCCTGACGTACATGTCAATGTCCAGATTTGGAGACCAACGAGGCCTTGGGACATGGTAGGCCCCTTCCCCCTGCACACTCAGGGAGAGCTTGGGCCCACTGAGCAGAGCGGACGGCACAGGGGAGCAGGGGTGCGCACCCCTAGGAAAGGGGTCTGCTCCCCCAGCCTGCAGCCATCAAGCCCAGGGACCTGGGGGTCGATTCTGAAAGACTGATGGCCAGGGAGCTCCTCCCGTGGCCCTCCTCACGGGCCTCGGGAGCCTGCCTCCACAGCTGGTCCCCACCTGCCTCTGCCCATCCTGCTACGGGCTGTACTTGCAGGGGCTGGACCAGTGGCTGGCACAGGCGGGGAACGCAGCAGAGTGTAACTGTGGCTCCCGCAGGTTCTCATGCCCACCAGGAAGCAGGAGGGCTTACCTCCAGGGTTCTCTGTCAGGGTGCTGAGGGCCACCATGAGAACCATGAGCAGGATGCAGGTCACCTTGTGCCCCATGGCCACTTTGCCTCCTCTCGGCCCAGAGAAGACCACGAGTAGGGATAGAAACCTGCCCGAGTTCTCACCTTTATACCGCAGGCCTATTTGCTTAGAGTGTGAGATAGCGTTTGCCTAAGGAGGGTCCCCAGCCCTCCATGCCAAACAACCTCCACCAATCACAAGCTGTTCCTGAGACGCGCCGAAGCCGGTCAGCGGGTGTGCTGTTATGGAGAACACTGTGTGGACGGTCATCTAGGGGCAGGGATTCAAGATTCAGAAAGTCCCTCTCTTTTTTACCCCCCCTTCTATTTTTTTTTAACTTGTTCTAACTAGTTATACAGGACAGTAGAATGCATTTTGACACACTGTACACAAAGGAGCACATCTTCTCCGTCCTCTGGCTGTGCATGGTCAGAGTCACTCCAGTAGTGACACAGGTATGTAGGGTAGCAATGTCTGTCTCATTCTTCGGTCCTTCCCATCCCCACTGCCACCCCTCCCCTCCCTCACCTCTGCACAAGCCAAAGTTCCTTCACTCTTCCCTACCCTCTCCCCCTGCCCCACTATGGATCAGCATCTGCTTATCAGAGAAAACATTTGGCCTTTGGCTTTTGGGGATTGGGTTAGGTCACTTAGCATGATGTTCTCTACTTCCATCCACTTACCTGCAAATGCCATAATCTCATTCTTCTCTAAGGCTGAGTAATTCTCCATTGTGTGTATACACCACATTTTCTTTACCCATTCATCTGTTGTAGGTCACCTAGGTTGGTTCCACAGTTTAGCTATTGTCAATTGAGCTGCTATGAACACTGATGTGGCTGCATCACTGTATTATGCTGATTTTAAGTCCTTTGGATATAAACCAAGGAGGGGGACAGCTGGGTCAAATGGTAGTTCCATTCCAGGTTTCCTGAGGAATTTTCATTCTGCAGGAAAGTCCCTGTCTTATCCCACGAGTCTCCTCCAACAAGACCTTGATCCAGGTCCCTCCCACACCTTGCTCTCACTGAGCAGGTTCATAGGGACACATGGCCAAAGAGGGCCCAGTGGCATCAAGCCCCACTCCAGGATGCCTTGGGAGGAAGAGCCCCATCCAGCTGACCCAGTCCTTTCAGGATGGACAAAGGAGTGATTCTTGGACATGTGGAGAGTCCAGGTCTGAGGGAGGGTCACTGAGGCTGGATGAGATGCTAAGGGGAAGAACAAGCCTGTTCCGCCCTCTGCTCAGCCCCAAGGCTTTGGACCTTCACCTGCACCTTCTGTCCATTGCTTTGTCCTGCTGGACATCTCCATGGCAAATTTGCATGTGAGCAAGGCACTTAAGGCCCTTCACCAAGGAGCCTGGCCCAGCCCAGGGGCTCCCATTCAAGCAGCCTTCACCTTGGACACACAGGGCTACTGAAACTGTAGGTGGAGGGCTGTCTCCTAGGTCTGCAGGCTGACCACTGTGCACCACCCCCAGTTCCTTACCCCAAGGGAAACTTGGAGGCATTGGGTGGGGTATATAGACAGAAATATCACCCTGAAATGTTGAACAGTGGAATCTTCTCCAGCCCTGCATGAGGTGAACCCCCCCCACATTCCCCTGCCTAAGCCTTCAGTCACGCAGGCCGTGGGGTACAGGGCAGAGGCTGCAGAGAGTGGGGCCCACGGAGGGACGCGTGGACCCGGAACACGCAGTACCTACTGTTGAGCCCTAAACCAGAAGGACATCCTATTATTTGTGACCACACAGACAGAGTGGGAGTACGTTATGTTGAGTGAGTTGAGCTGAACACAGAAAGACAAATCCTGCTTGTCTTAGATAGGGACTCCTGGAAGCAGCCGGTGGGGTGGTGTTATCCGGGCTGGATGTGGGCTTGGGGAGGCATCCAAGGACACACAGTTCCAGTTAGACCAGAGGAACTAGTTCAAGAGAGCCAGTGTCCCTCTTGGAGATAGTGTTTATAGCAACATACTGTATATTTGAATAATAAGAGCAAACTTTAATGCTTTCACTGCACAAAATAATACATGCCCTTGCACAGACCCATACGTTCAACACTGAGTTAGCCCTTCCGTAAGGTACACGCCTGCGCTGGAACATCGTCTGCATACCACAAATAGGTATGGGTTTTATTTTCCCATTAATTTAAATAATAAATGAAGTGGGACCTAAAAGAGAAAGACAGGCTGAAGGGGCCCACGGCATCCTTCAGAAGCCCAGGGGTCCCAGGCTTTGGAGCCAGGGTTGATGTGGGACCCACAGACCCTCAATGAGAATGGAGTCCAGGTCCCTGGGGGGAGGGGTCTTAGAGCAAGGCCACCAGGTATATGGTGACCCTTCTCCCAAGCCTGCCCCAGAGTGGCCTGGGCCATTTGCCAATACTGTGGGTGACCTTGCATCCCCACAAAAGGTGTCAAGGTCCTGACCTCCAGCACCTGAGAGCACGGCCTTGTTTGGAAATAGGGTCTTCACCTGGACAATAAGCCGGGTTAGTCGGAGCTATTAAGGTGGCCATGACTGTTTCTCTATAAACAAGAAATTTGGACATGGACATGTCCATCAGGAAGGCGAGGTAGACACACAGGGAGCTGCCATCCGAGTCCAGGGACAACTAAGGCTACCAGAGGCTGGGAGAGGGCTGCAGTGGATCCCCTCAGAAGGAACAGGCCGCAGACCCCAGGCTCCAGCCTCCAGCACCACGAGACGGTGCCATTCTGTCACTGAAGCTTCTCGCTTTGAGGGCTTTGTTACCACAGCCCCGGCAGGCTAACACATCCAGCATGACTGGACACTGGGAAAAGAAACAAAGGCTGTCCGGGGTGGCCGAGCATTAGCTGACCTGACACTGAGCCTCAGAAACCAAGCCCCCAGCAGCTCAGCCTGTGACTTCAGGTGAGGGCCGCGTCAGCCGGCTGGTCCAGGATGCGTCCGTCCCGTGAGGCCTGACCCTCAGCCCCTAGGGAAGCTTCCCTCGCACTTTTCTATGGAATTTGTAATAACATGAAAAGTGTCGTGTGGTGGTATTAAATAAAAAATAAACAGACCCAAAAGTTGACAGACAACTCAGTAGGAAAGAGGAGACGAGCCCTTCCCCTGGATTCCGCCCTCTGGTCGCCTGAGCCACTTCTAAGGCACACAATCAGCTTTCGCCACTGAGACACTGTGTTCCTAAAATGCAGGGTAAAGATTGGCCCCCTCAAAAGCAGAGAGGGAACGGAAGTGCCTCCCCTCCTTCACTGAGTCAGGCAAGAGGCAGAGGGTGTCTGACTTTGGGGTGCCCGGGGCCCCGCCCCACTGACACACTCGCTCTGTGACTGTTCCTCACTCCTTCCCTGAATTCAAACGCAGGCCCAAGGTGACCACGCTGAGCGCGCCTCTGTCTCATAGATTTCAGGTGCCAGGGGAGGGAAGCAGCCCAGTCCAGCCCACTGGGTCCTCCTCGCCCCTCCCAGCAAACCCCTACACACAGTGTCAATGTGCAGATGAGGCCCGGAGGGAAAGGACACGTGTGACCTGCAGAGGTGACAGGGCCTCACCCCGTCTACCTCTTATCTTGGCCCCTCCTCCCACTCCTGCTCCTCTCCAGCACCAGCCCGCAAGGCCCCTAACCTTGTCCTGGACGACCCTGACATCTGGCTAAGGCAGGTTACAAGGCAGCCCCTGGGGCAGGGCATGTGGCTGACAAAGGCACCTGAGCTGCCCAAGGGCCTGGGGTAAGGTGAGGACTAGACCGCAGGTTCCTGATCCCACCCGCATCCAGAGAGTGTGCCCCTCTTCTCAGGCCGCCTCACCACCACAAGACCACCCAGGCCCCTCAGGAAGGCATGTGTCCTCCTGTTGCGGGGCTGCCGTGGCCAGCAGTGGTGCTGCCGTGGCCAGCAGTGGTGCCTCCTGTACCAGCGGTGTTCAAATGAGCGACCTCATCTGAAAGGTGACTTAGGAGGAGCTGAGGTCCTCCGGCCGCATGGCGCCCTCTCCCTTGCATCCTGACGCCTTCAGTGTGAGAGGAAGGGGCAGCTTTGAAGTCACCATGGTGGCACCACCCAGCCTCGGCTCCCTGTGTGAAGCTGACCCCGGCACACAGCAGGCAGCTGAGTCCTCCCCTCACTCTGTGCTGTGATTTGCAGGTGTCCTGCCTCCTGAAGGTCCGTGTGCTGGGAGCTTGGCCCTCCTCCACGTTCAGACTCTCTGAACGTGGAGGAGGGCGTGCCTCTAAGAGGTGAGGCCTAGCGGGAGAGGATGGGGTGTGCCCTTGGAGGGGTTGAGGAAGTTCTGGTGACAGTGGGGGGTTGTGTGGTGGTCTCCTCCCCTCGTTGGGCCCTTCTTCACAGGGCCAGTTCCCCTTCCACTTCTCCGCCATGTTGAGACACAGCCAGGGGGTCCTCACCAGCAACAGCACAGGCTGCTGGGACCACAACCGTGAGACAAATGAGCCTCTTCCCTTGATGAGCCTCAGGTATCTTTTTAGAGCAACAGAAATGCACCAGGTCAGTGTAAAATATTATATTTTGAGATTCCCACTTTACCCAGGGGATGCCGTAGTCCTTTCCAAGGGCATCCCTGGTCTTTTTGGTTTTCCCGTGGGCAGAGATGATGAATTGGAGTGAGTTTCTGAGAGCAGACCTCGGGGCACCTGGGCCTCCCTTCCAGTCTGCACTGAGGATGGGGTGATGAGGAGGTACATGGGGCCCAGAGAAAAATGGAGCATTTATCCTCAAAATTTTTATGACAGGTGCATGGCATTCAAGAAGTTATTCTGTACTTAAAATCCTCAGAAGTATTAGGCCTTATCAAACAACAGAGCCTCACAGTACGAGAAATAGAATGGAAAGGAGAAGGAGATCAGGACACAGGGACACCAAGGCCCCTCACAGCATCTGGTAGAAGTACGGAGCAGGAGGTTGACAAGGGCACCAGAGATCTGAACTACACCACCCATTAAGAGGACCTGATAAATAGGATATGTCACCAGAAATAGCAGAAAGCACATTTTCTAAGTGTCCATGTAAACCCATAAAGATCCAGCGTGAGCCAGGTGTGATGGTTATGTCAGGAGCG